AAAACTGATCTTCATTGGTCTCCATCCCTAGTCACTAGCTCACCTTCAAATAAAACTGATCTTCATTGGTCTCCATCCCTAGTCACTAGCTCACCTTCAAATAAAACTGATCTTCATTGGTCTCCATCCCTAGTCACTAGCTCACCTTCAAATAAAACTGATCTTCATTGGTCTCCATCCCTAGTCACTAGCTCACCTTCAAATAAAACTGATCTTCATTGGTCTCTATCCCTAGTCACTAGCTCACCTTCAAATAAAACTGATCTTCATTGGTCTCCATCCCTAGTCTCTAGCTCACCTTCAAATAAAACTGATCTTCATTGGTCTCCATCCCAAGTCTCTAGCTCACCTTCAAATAAAACTGATCTTCATTGGTCTCCATCCCTAGTCACTAGCTCACCTTCAAATAAAACTGATCTTCATTGTACCTACATGTAGCCCATCTGCAAATAAAACTATTAAATCTTCATTTGCCCTCATCTCTAACATGTAAGCCACCTTCCAATCAAAAAACGTTTTACATTTGATGAAGTATAGAATTGTGGCTTGTATTATTACCGGTAGTTTGTCTCAAACATATTTATTCAACAGAGTGCATCAGAGTTGAGGGATATTAAGCGGTCAGAGGAAAGGGCTGTTGTAGAAGAGTGGTTAGATAATGTATCATCTGTTGTTTTGGGCACATTTGATTTATCACAAGAAGAAAGGGAACTCATAAAAGCATTGGAAAATAAGTATGATGTCATCAGGTAAGGAATATTGTCAAGTGTATAAAGTATGTATTTTTACAGTATGTTTTAATTACCTTATATTATACAATCTGTGTTTTTCTAGTTTGACAACTACAGACACTTGTTGCCAGAAATCATCAGTATGCCTATGGTTTGGATTGATATAGGACTAATAACTTGTGAATCCTAAGAGAACATATCATGAGGTTACATGATTTTACAGCACCCTCTTTGGCCTTGTTCTGCAGTTCTTTTGTTTTTATTATTTATGGCAATCTATTACCAGTTTACATCCTGCAGTAATTCTCTTTATTTATGTGTATGTTGCATAGAGACAAATTGTTAACAGAAACTCTCAAAAGACACTATGGAGCAGATGCATGGAAGGATATGCTAGAAAACGAACAACAAAGACTTCTCTCCAAAAAGAAATTGGAGGAAAGAAGTCTACGACAGGAAGGAAAGTTGGATGAAATGGCAGCCTTGGTTGGAGATTTCGGAAAGGTATAAGAATTCATTGCAACTACTATTACCAGGGTATTGTAATCTTGTTTTTATTGCACTCCATTTCACTATTTTGCGCCAAAGGAAAATTTGAAAGAATTGCCAGTGTCAGCCAAAGTGAAAATATACTCCCATGATGCAATGGTTTCTCTCATTGAGATAAAATAACATTTGAACATTTTTTAATCATATGATCGCGTACTGCACTCATTAACTGGCTTGCCATTGAAATTTATGAATATTCATATACACGTTTGTTGCGTCACTAGTATCATTATGGAAATGTTCAATTTAAAACTAGAACATTTGAAAAAAATAATAACTGAGTTGTCGTGTCAATGGTCCAATAGTTTTGTGAAGAACATTCTGCATGAGAATTTTCAGTACCAGCATTTACCAGTTATACATGTTATGTTGAATATAAAATATTGCAGTTTGTAATACAGCTGCTTCTTGCTAAGTCTTGGGTGTCGGGATCCAAGCAAAATCAAGGGTCATGACTTATTGTGAGCTAACAGACTGGATAACTTTCGCTCAAACAGGCTGCTCATTTAAAAAATTGAGATTAGAATAATTGAATGGATTGTTCACATTGTATTGAGTTTTATAGGACCTTATCAAACCAGTAACAAGCTAGAAACATGAGACAAGCTACAGACACCTTTTGTTTTCCAGTAAATAGCAGGGCAATGGGTGGTAAATACTGATGACATCTATGCAGTTTGAAAAACACAGGCATCTATTCTTTAATGGCTGATTACCTATGTAAATGCATGAAACAACTCTCAAAGTTGCCGCTAAAAAAGATTCCAATTACCCTCAACTTGCAACTTAGCAGATAACACAACATAGTAAGGGGTCATTGTATCTCTGAAATCTGTCTTTGTAGAATGAGTTCAATTTAGAAGAATTGATGGGAAGGATTCAAACTGAATATCATCAGAAATATTTAGAAAAACAATCCAGAATACAGAAAGAAGATGAGGATGTTACTGATTATGGTAAGCTTTATAATATTTTAGTCTAGACTACATCTTGTATAGATATTACACAGACCTGGGATTAGAATTAATTCTCAACATTCTAGGGATGCTCGTGTCAATAAGATTATTACTAAAGCAAAACAAAAAATTAATCTTCTACACCATTGTATCAAAAATATATCACCAGAAATGATTATGATTCTTTATATTGAAATATATTGTAGTACCTTCCATCTTAAAGTATACCAGTTCTATTTGGAACCCAGTTGAATATGAATGCAATATTCAAATTAACAATATCAAATTTAGTAAGTAGAAATATCATTTATTCCATACAAACATTATATTGACAGTAAATTATAAAAGGTGCGGAAATTTAAAAAGTTGTTTAACTGTGGCATCAATAAATATTTGCCCTCCCATCTTCAGTTAAAGCCTCTAAGAATAGCACAGACATCAAACATAAATTACTGAAGATATGAATCAAACTTCGAACTGAGTCTGCTTTAGAAGAACTCCATAAATTCCACTGGTTAAAGATCTTGTACTATCCCCACCACTAAAAGCAAGCCCATTGTTATCCCTGATTTGTTGGCATCAGAGACACATTTTGACGACAGTCAAGTTTTGAAACATGATTTCACAGCCTTGAACTGTTGATCTCTGTTTGATACATGTAAAATAGGAGATGATGTCATCCACATATTCATTATCCCCAGGGGTAATAGCTGTGTAGATTACTTCCTAACTTCATCTCTTTCATATAGTTGTCATCTTTCTAATTTGTAGCAATTCTAACTTTTCTTTTCTGATAAAAATGATATTTTAATTTCCAACAGAAATAGAAGAGCCGTTAGCAGTGAAAAAAATTGGTAATCCTCTCGGCGACTTACAGTATAGATTCAGTGAGGATATGGACGCATTGATGGGCAAGCTGAAAGGAGAAGAAGGTGTGTTCTTGCGTGAACAGGGAAGGATACAGTTGCTACAGCGATGGAAGAGGCAGAGGAACCGAGCTGAGAAGGAAGAGAAATTCTTAGATACTGTTTTGATGGTTGGACTTGCTGAGAGGATTCCTATAAATATAGATATGAGGTGAGACGATGGATTGTTAAAATTTTGGGGATTATTATATCACCAATTCCTATCAGATCAGGGCAATTGTGAAATATTGAAATCGGCATCAGCATTTTACTTGTCAGAGTGAAACTTTTATTGTCCTTGTATATTTCAGTATACAGTGAAATGCGATTTTTGATTTTCATTTGCTATTTGTTTTTCAGAGTCAAGAAAGACAAAACTCGTAACTTTCAACTTGCGAGAGAGAGATATTCCAATAGAGAACACCGGAAGAGCCAAGGGTTGTATGATGAGCTAGAATTTGATAACCATGTATTGCCACCTAAAGGTAAAATTTATCTCACTTTTCATCAAAGTTCATTTTCCTGATTTCTGTGGAGAGGTTATATATTTATTTTATAGTGACCTGAATGAATCAGAAATAAAGACTTTTTGTCTCCATGTATGTTACTTACTTTCGAACTACTAGTAATGTAATTACTGCATTTGCTCTGTCAGTATTGCATGGGCTTAATATGTAAATGACATCTATGGTCAATATCAGTAATATTTTAATGATTTAGTAGACAACAAATGTGATTTTGGGTTTATATGTACTTCTATTGGTGATGTGTTTCTAATAGAACAAACATGATACATGTAGTAACCATTACCTTTTTTAAAAATAAATTTATGCTTCATGCTCTTGACTGCATTAAGGATCATAATTGGATTTGTTTTTTGACATTCCGGCTCACAATTCACAATCAGAAGACTGAAATGTTGATAAACTGTTCTCCATAACCTTGTGCGGTAAAAGTAGTCCTCATTTTGCAACACTGTTTCCACTATATTATGTCCATCTGCAGGTGAGCTGGAAACATGGAAGGAATCCATGATGATAGAAGTCGATAAACGACACAGAATGGAGCGTAATTTGATGATGAGTATTTTAACAGACAAAGGCAGCGAAGAGTTGAGAGAAGTGGCCAGGTCTATGCCAGATGATGAGAGACAAAAGCGATTAGCCGAATTGAAGCGCAAGAGAGAAGGGTTAGAGTTGGACAGCAAAGGTGTGTGGATTGTGTGTGCTTGTAACAGATTATAAACTAGTTGCCTGCTTGCTGTAGTCAAAGTATAATTGTTGTAATTAAATCATGCTGTATATTTTACTCAGGGAAACTGTTTAACAATCTCAGTAAAGTAGAGATTAAATCAAAGTTTGAAAGATATTTCACTGCAATGTTGTTATGGAGAGATAACTATCCCCTTTCAGTACATCTTCAGTATCTTCATCAGTTCTACATGTAGCAGCTGAATTATGACTTTTATCTCTTCGTAGTAAATGCATCGTATGATATTCAATATATGTCTCATACGATGCATGGAAATTATAATGTTTGCATTGCCTTTTGTGACTAATTATAATTCACCTCTTTTCTAAAACCACTTGACTGACAATGTTGGTATTATGTCATGAGAGGTTGGACGACAAGCAAAAGAGATTTTAATGTAATCATTCAATTAAAACTTTATGTGTTGTTTTACAGTAAAAAAAAAAAATTATTTCTGAGACAAATTCACCTCAGAACCCTGAAACTTTCAAAGCAAATTATCAATTTTTCTTTATAAATTTGTCTTAGTCTTTGTGGAGTTATAAGTAATAGTGTATATATTTTGATATCTACTGTTTGTTCCCACTTTTTTGCAGATGATCAAGAGCAGAATTTAGATATCTTGGAGGAGAGTGGTGCCATTAAAAGTGTGGTACGGAGACTAGTGATGGAAGAAGAGGCCCAAGGCAAGATAGTCAGTCACGGTGAGATTGTGGTCTCTCTGCTGGCTGAACTCCAAGAAGAACAGGAAAGAGAAGGCGAGAGAATATTTCTCAGTTTGGATGGAAAGGTAAAGAATACTCTACTGGAAATGTTCGCTTTATGCTATCATTCTCTTTGCCTATGAGTGTATTTGATGTTGGAGTATGTTTCAAAACTTAAATTTAAAATAAAGTTTTGTCATAATGATTCTGTTTATTGTAATTTCTAAAATGAAATTACGCAAAATAATCCATCCAAATGGTCATGGTACATCTATGTTATCTCATCTGATGGCAACCTCTTTTTATTTTTAGTCTAAATTTAAATTGGCAGTTCATTCCCCATAAGTGTGAGCTCAACTACTTGGATTGTATACTCTTTCTTCCAAATCAACTTTATAATCAATCATCTGACTTGTGTAGCAGCTAGGGGTTTCCATCATTGCCTTTTATCAACGAAGTGCTTCTGTGATGTTACTGTGTTTAGTTGTCGTTTCATTTAGTAATAAATCTTTCAAAACTAAGATATAGAAGGCTACACAACATCAATGCTGTGGTTGGCCTTTTTTATCACAGAGGTGCTACATCACTTGGCATGATCTATTGAAAAGATTTATCAGAACAACAATTCTGTATTTAATTTGGGTACATACTTATACAAATAAAGTGTCAATTTATTTTAATACTAGGTAGTGGCAATCTGATTTGGTGATTGTTGTTTGTTTGTTTGTAGACAGAGGATGATATTTCCGGGATGCGATATGATCAGATAACAAGACGTAAGATAGACAGAGGTGATAATATCATGGAAATATTCTCAATGTATGAAGGTGCAGGACAAGAAGATGAACTAATCAAGGTTTGTGTACATCTTGTCTGCAGTTCAGATTATGTATATGGTTTTAATATTGTAACTATAACATATCACAACCACTGAAGCCTTGCCCTTCTAAATAACAGTATCAAACATGATACAGTTCTTGGGAACACATTTACTGTAGCCATACTACATCAACAAAATGACATATTAAGGGACAACATCAAAAGTTCAATGTAGGATAAAAAACTTAATTTCTTTAGTTTTTTCCCAAACCCCCCCTACCCCCCACTGAAACTTAATTTATGAATATTGATAATGGTGTCAGACTATATTCACCATTAAATACAAATTGATAATCGAACATTGGTATGGCGTAGCAGTTGGTTCGCGGTCCATGCCCTAAAATTGACCTCATTTAACGCACATATTTACATTCGAACCAAACCATGTGTTTTTTTCAGTTTCTGTTGTTTTTGTCCATGATTGGATAGAAAAAAAAAACGAACTACAAATACTCCATAATTTTTTTGACTTGATTTTTGATTTGACAAAATCGTTTTTGTAGGATGGAAACTTTTTGAGGTCAAAACCCCCCACCCCAAACTAAAGCAAATAAGTTTTTTATTCGACATCGATCTTTTGACGTTGTCCCTAATGAGCATAAGGTCATTGATACAAGGTTCAATATTGAGGCTATGATTGTTTTGTGGGGATTATTAGAGCCAGGGCAAAAATATTAATAGCTTACATGCAGGAAAAAACATGATGATGAATACAAGTAGTTTGATAGAGTGATGAAGCATGTTTTTGATCTTTCTCTTTTTACAGGCTTTGGAGGAGAAATATGATGTTTTAAAAGATAGGTTACTATGTGATGCCCTGAGGAGACAAATGAGTGAGGAAGATTGGTTAAATCTGAGTGATGAGGAGAAAAAGAGAAGACTGCTGAAACTAAAATTAGAAGAAAGGAGATTGCAAAGAGATGGTAAGGTTCTACAAATCTGTCACATTTCATATATTTATTTTTTTAACCCAATCCAGTCAATGTTGCTATAACAACACATTGTTTTGATCAGTAGCAACATCACATAATTATTTCTCACACTTGAACAAGACGCATATGGAAATAAACAAAGCTGATGACCTCTGACCCAAGCCAGAGGACACAAATTGTGATTGAGACTAATGAATCACATGCTTCCATACCAACTACTTATGCAGCCATCTCCACTTTCCACCCAAGCAACCATGCTCATTGACTGCCCAATTATCCTCACTTCCCACCCAATCATTCCCACTGACTGTCTAGTCATTGCCACTTTTCATCCAACCATTTCTACTGACTGCCCAGTCATTCCCATTATCTACCCAACCGCCTGCCTAGTCATTGCCACTTTCCACCAACTGTTCCCACTGACTGCCCACCCAGTCATTGCAACTTTCCACCCAAGTGTTCCCACTGACTGTCTAGTCATGGCCACTTTCCAACTTGCCATTCCCACTGACTGGCTAGTCATTGCTACTTTCCATCCAATCCTTTCTATTGACTGCCCAGTCATCACCACTTCCATTTCTAAACATTCCTGATTCCCAAAACTAGTCCCGATTCCAATGCCCACATATCAGATTGTTTGTATTTAATATTCCATGATCTTATTTACAGGAAAGCATGATGCATTAGTTACATTACTGGGGGACAATTTCCACATTCAAGGCAATGTTAGTTCCTTGATGGGAGAACATCAATCCAAATATAAACAAAAACTGATAAAAAGACTTGCAAAGAAGAAACCAGGTATGGTTAGAAATAGTTATGTTCTTTCTTTTTACATCCCAAAAAGTTTACACACATGGGAATAGGGTATCCTCTGTCACAAGATGAATTTTGAACTTTATTATTATATATTATTTAATGATTACCCTAATTGTCAATTATTTTTCATGTCATTACGGAATTATGTATAAATTAGACTTCTCTTCATTTTTGATTTTTTATGAAGATGTTGCTGAAAATGATGGGATACTAGAAGATGAAGGAGAGCGAAAAAAGAAATCTACCAATACTCTGCTGGAACTGCATGATAGATACAGAGATGAACGAGATGTATTGATGACAAACTTACGTGACCCTCAGGCTCTGATGAACAAGAAAGAACGACAAGCATGTTTGATAAAACTCAAACGAGAGAAACAAAAAGCTGAGAGGGAAGAAGGATTTGAAGCAGCCGCTCTGGCGGTCGGTTTAGCCGAACGCAAACAATCACAATTTGCTGAGAGGTATGGTTATATGTGATGAGATGAAAAAATACATCAATTTATAACTGTGACAATAATACAGACTGTTTGTGTGTCTTACATGGTGTCTTTGGTTTCCGTAGATTACAGCATGATAGGGAAAGACAAGAAGACCTAGCTAGAAGAAGAATAACATTTTTGCGCAAGAAAAAAACAGAAATCCAATCAGAGGATGATCAGCTTGTGAATAGTGGCAATCGAGCTGATATGCAGGTATGTTACACTTATGAATGTATAATGTGATGTTTTTGTGACTACTTAATTGCATGCATCAGAATACATACTTTTGTAAAGTTGATATATGTCACTTGCGCACCTGAGTTTATTGATACGTAAAAAGTAGTGCTGTTGCTGTAACTGAAAAATGGAGGAATAAACAAGAAGTTAAATGTGTAAGGTTTCTGGTTTCTTTGATGAGTCAACACATCGAAGTATTGTTAGTCACATTACATTGTTTACTATAAACAAATGTGCTTAAAACAAAATAATACAAGTGATTTTGTAGCTGGGTTCGGTCAGCCACATTCAACTTGAGGTAGGACTTCAACATAACAACTTGAACTTGCAGACTCATGAATCACTTGTTCAACGTAAACACCATTTATTGCTGATCAAAACACTTCAAACGAATTTACAAGTATAAACTTATAGAGACTTGTCATAAAACATAAACGTTGTATAAACAGATGAATTAGTTGACCCACACAGTTGAGCATGAACTCAAACTAAAACAGAACTATCGTTAAACTTTAAAAAGGGGAATGGAACATTAAGGCGTTTTCCAAGCAAGACGGAGGTCAACCAATCAGTGACTGCATGCTGAGTTAATAATGGAATATCAGTGAGAAAGGAAGGATAGAATGTTTTCGTTCGATTTCTATACAAACTGGAGTGTAATAATTATGTACAACATCTATAAACACATATCTCGAAATTACTCATTAAATTGGAACAAATTACATAGATTAGTAATAATATAGAAATTATCAACATCAAAACACTCCTTATTATCATTTCAATGATAGATTTTCAAACGCATGATTGGTGCATTACATAAAAATTACAAATTGTCTACTTCAAAGGATGCTGTTCTACGAGCACTTGAAAACAAGCATGCAGTGGAGCGACAAGTGTTACTGGAGATATTACAGCAAGATGGATACCAGCAATTTAGAGAATTTGCAAGGATCATGACAGAAGTACAAAGGCAGGACAAGCTGGATGAGTTGGTACTGAACAAACAAGAATTAGACTCTGGTAAGAACGGTTTATCTTGTATTTATTAAATTTACACTGTGAAATCATTCCAAAAA